GGTCTATAGCAAACACTCCAAAGAGAGAAGAATTACAAGCTTTCTGTAAGAAATAAAGTATAGAAACACACTTGGTGGCATTTAGAGGCAGCGTAAAATATGTACAAATATAAGACTGTAACATTGTTTTTATGTCAGTAGTTTCTGGGAGAGTCCTTTAAACACGGCTTCTATCTGGTTGATGATGAGATAAGAGACTCTCAGTAAGATGACCTGCAACATCAAAGACTGCTAGACCAGCACAAGATTGTTCGGAGAGTCCTTAAGCCACCAGGTTTTCTGGGAAGCTCTATCCTAATACCAAGTCTGCATCCAACCCCTCCTTCTGAGTGGTCACTTTTACTTCAAGGCTACCAAACATGGGTTGTTTGTTTAATTCTTGTTTCTGCAGTACTGGGGACTGAACCCAGCATCTTCACACTGAGCTGCATCCATGGCCCTTTTAAAATTTTGTTTTGAGAAAGTGTCTCTATAAAATGCTAAGTTACCTGGGCTAGGCTGAAACTTGTGGTCCTCTTGCCTTAGCCTCCCAGAGTGCTTGAATAATAGTTGTGTGCCACCTAGCTCTAAAACATATTTTTCTAAGACGAAAGTCCCCATCTCTAGGGTGCTATCCATTTCAGCTCATCCTACTCCAAACACCAAGAAGATTTTTCTTAGTGTTGTCTTCCCCCTACATAACAGATATTTATTCTATTTTATAACCTTAACATTGTGAAAGATGTTTTGAGCAATGTCACATTTGTTAAAGAAATAAATCCTAACTGCTAGAAGTAATCTCGCCCCCTTTATCTTAACAAAAATTTTGTACAGCATCCTCATAGTTCTCTGCTGGTAACACTGACTTCTCCCAGTCTCAGATCCATAGTGTCCTGGGGAGCTTGCTCCCCATAGACACCTAAGTGTCCCTTGAAACATGTAAAAAGAAGTTTCTCTGTGTTTCCCTCTCAGGTGTTGTAAAAGGCAGCATCACTATATATGGCTCTTGGAAAGCTGTAAGACACAGATGTGTGTTAAACAGCTTGTGTGCACTATGAGATCCCCATTGACATTACCCTGGTCTTACTATTATCTGAATCAGCCCTAAGTGCAGCATACAACTGGGCATGAGCTCAATGACTTTTGGAACAGAGGACAAAGCACAGCTGGAGGGAATGGTAGACAGGCAGAAAAAGGAATGGAAGACAAAAATGATCTCGGTTTCAAGGTCTGTCTGAAAAGCTTAAGTAGGACTTAGAATCTCCTCCATGTGTGAGCTGATCTGATGTTCTCCATCTGTTACGAGGCCCTGGAGGCTGGCTGGCCATTAAACACAAACACGGAACGATGACTGGTGGAGCAGGTGCAGTGAAGTTGGAAGGTGTGGAGCAAATAAAATAAGCCTGTGGCATCTATGAGAAAAGTTGACCCCCAGGAAATTTTAAAAGGTTGTGCACTGCGGTATTCATGACATATGTGTGAGAGGTATGATGGCAAGTGTATTTCTCATGAAAGTACTTCAATTACTTGCATATTGTTATTCCTTTAGAATTCCCAGACCCTGCTCTGCACAGTTACTTACTACTCATAGAAAGCTATGCCTTGCTTTGACAAATTGGCCTTTAATGCAATCCATTGGCCCAAAGTCAATCGGAGTGTTGCCTGAGCTACACCCTTTGCTAAAGTAATTTTCTAAACCTACCGCTGTGAGTCAACTGTTCTCTTCCCGTAACTTTTCCTTGACACCCCCTGACATCTGTATCACATTGAAGCTTCTTATTAGCACCTTTAGGATTTCCAGCATTCTGCTTGATGAATCTCGTACTTACTCTCTTGCTTGTAACTCTGCTCAGGTTCTGTGCTGTGCTTGTTCTCTTTGCCGTACCATCCTTGCACCTCCTCATCCCTCCATTTCCCACAACCACTTCCCTTTGGGCATCCAGCACTCTTTTTGGCAATGCAATCCCTCCTTCAAAGACTGCTTTCCTGAGACTTCTAAATGGCTGGTGAGAGATTGCAAAGGGAAATGTTCTAAAGAGCTATGCATATTCTATTGAGATTAGTTCCTTCTTTATATGCTATACCATGGTACTATACAGAAGAAAGTGTTGTTTTCACTTTTCTTATCAGCAATGTATCTTCCCATATTTCTGACCGTCATGTCAGACTAGACTCCTTACTCCTTTCACAACCTTCATCCACTCCAACAGCAAATCCTATGGGTTCTTCCTGGAATGTGCTCTAAATTCAACCACTTCACATGACTTTGGCCTTCCTCCGTGATACTCACAGTTCCTGCCTGGATGCCCTACTGTCTGTGCTCTGGACAACAGCCTGGCTGATCCTTAGAAAATATGTCAGCTGTGCCACTCTGCTCAAAAGCCTCTGCCGGCTCCACATCTCTTTCCAAATAAAACTTGGGAAGGCCAATAGCACTTTGCACAGTGTGACCCACCTCTCCCCAGCCCTGTCTCCTGTCTTTCTCGCCCAGCCATCCCATCCCAGCCCTCTCCCATCTTCCAACTTCTTGCCACCATTTACCTTTGATCAAAGTATATACATAGAAACTCCCCCAAAATGTGAAACGAAGAAAGAAGGTGATGGATGTGCTCATGAAAAAGATCGAGTATGTTATATGCATGTAGGAATCTGCCAAAATGAACTCTATTAATCTATATAAATAATATGTGCTAATTTAAAAAGAAATGAAAAAAAGGAAAAGAAATGTTTTCTTCTCTTGTCTGTCACTTTGTCCAGATCTTTTCATTACAGACTTTTCAGTTCCCTCAGATTTCAGCTCAGATTTTATGCTCAGTTTTTTTACTTCTCTAAGTGACCTTCCCTGACCGGTGAATCTAAAGTGACACTGATCCTCTCCTCTGTTCCTGACCCTATCTCAATTTTCCTCACAGTTCACTCCTGTTTCCTATAGTGTTAATATATTTGCTGTTCAGGTTCCTACCACCTACCACTTGTACTAAAAATATAACTGAAATGTAAGGAGGAGAGTGTGGACTTTTTGGTTTGATTCTCTGCATCTACCTACTATGCTTACAAAGTTGCCTAGCACATAGTAGGTGTTTCATGGAATATGTTAAATAAAGGAATGTCAGTTAAGAGTTGTGTTAGGCAGTTTTCCATTACTATAACAAGGAACTAACATTATAAAGATAAAATGTTTATTTGGCTTGCAATTCGGGAGCTTCAAGGTTACAGCACCTGCACTGGCTCAATCCTAGTAAAGACCTCATGGCAGACAGTGGTGGGAAGGCATGTGACACTGAGCAGTCACACACTGAGCCAGGAAGCAGAGAATGAGAGGATCTCACAGTCCTTCTGATAGAATAATCCCCATGACCTAAAGACCACCCACTACGTCGAGCTCCCACCACATGAAGGTAAACGGGACACAGACTACTGAAACTACAGCAGGAGCATCTTTTGGGTTTTTAGGAGAGTACACTTTGCTAACGATAACAATTTTCAAAATATCAGTAGCAAGTTCAGCTCATGAATCTGCTTCTGCAATTAAAGTCAGTGTAGGGAATGAGGAAGTAAATAATTCCACAGCATGACCACACTGTGACATGCCTTAAAAAAGGTCGTCTTGTGAGACACTGCAGAGCCCACATCACTGGACACAGTCTGTTCTCAAAGTGCACTGCTCATGCTTTGAATATGGTAAGTGCATAAGAAAGGAGCCATGGCGATACTAACACAATAGAAATCTCTGGAGTTTAGCAGTTTAATATCTCAAATACTACTCCCTCTATAGGAGACAAAATACACAGGTCTGCTTTACACTCTACTATTTGAAAAAAAACATCGTCATGCCTAACTTCTACATGGTACATTTTCCCCAAGTGAGTTGAATTTCATAGAGCATGGTTTCCAGATCCTGGTTTAGATTGAATGGCACTTTTACAAGGTAAAAACCAAGTCTCTTCTCCATCTGTCTTCCTTAACTCTGATTTCATTCATCTCACTTATGGTTTTGGGCAACACTAAGCATTTCATGTGCTCCTAGTACCCTGCCTAGGAATATTTGCTCCAGGATCTAGAGGTTGACCCATGTAACTGTGATAATCTAAAAATACACTTTACCAGGGGCTGGAGATTCAGCTCAGCGGTGCAGTGCCTGCTTGGCAAGCACGAGGTCATGAATTTGATTCCTGGTGCCAGAAAAAAAAACAAAAAAAAAATATGCTTTACCTAGGAAATACAGGTTTTCTCAATTTGAGGGAATGGATAACTAGGAAAAAACTAAGTGGCTGGTTAAAATGACGGGGGAATTACTTCAGCAGTGTTCAAGGCATCTACCTCTTACCTCCAGCTATGGCACTCTTCTGGCTTCATTAAGCTGCCATGACCACACTTAATCCACCCCACTATGGCACAGAATCTTTATTTTCTATATTTCCAGCCCTTAACATCTCTAACACAATACGGGCTTTCACAGCTATCCTTGGTGTCATAATTGGTGAGTAATGCTGTCAAACACTATGATCTCTAAATTCAGAAGGCAGAAAAAGACCTGCTTCCCAGGAAGTAGCTTTGAGTTTATCAGATCCTTAACTCAGTCTGTCTTCATCCACAGGGAAAGACATCTTGTTGCTTTTTCGTGCCATGTGGAAATGAACCACTGGCATCTCAGAGCTGGAAAACTTCAGCCTTTAGGGAAGATCATGGGACCCTGTCACCTATTTTCAAGTGTTCTGAAGACGTTTGAGAAGAACTCTTGTTCCAAGAAGCTCCAGTAAGCAAAAGAAGGATAAATAACTGGAAATCACAAGCTGGAATATTTTTATTTCATTAGAAAATAATTTTCCAATGATCACAGCTATCTTTCCCTGATATGAACTGCCTCAGTAATAGTAAACCACTCTGGGTCACCTCACGGTGAGAGTTCATTCAAAGGAGTCATACTCAGTCCACAAAATCAAACCAAGTCCTGTTGAATTTGGAGAATTCATGACCCAGTGAGCAGTTTCCCCCATAAGAACAACACAAGAAAATTTGAATTCAATTTTTGGGAGAAGAAAAATTTAATATATTTTATCTTATTATACATTTCCCCTAAATTACAAAGTCAACAGCTGCAAATATATTCTGCTACAAAGCTTTCTGTAAGAAATATCTCTATAAGAAAATACATCTCATAACATTTCCTCTAAATAAATTACTTCAAATAATAATTTTTGAAAGGGTAAACATAAGGGAAATGGTATAGGACCTAGACTGTAGGTGTAGTGGCTATATAAAAAACAGTTGGTGGAAATGTTCCCATTTCATGTCACCAAGCTTGAAGAGCCTGTTGGCACCAACTTGGGCTCTTGGATCAAGTAGCATATATATTTTTTTTGTAGACCTGTGTGGAAAACATACATCTTCATCATCCTAGTAAATGTGTATAGGAAGTTAAATTCTCCATCCAGGCTCTGGTTCTCTTTCTATTGGAGAATTTGAATTTGAGGCTGCAGGTGGGGTAGCTGTAACAAAATTCAAGAGTAACTTTCCGTCCATAGAGGTTTAAAGTTAGAACTATAAAATAACCTTTTTGTTCTCATATGCTCTAGGCGTAAGATTTAGAATTGAGTTAAATAATAAAATGTTTTCAAAAGAATTTAGAGACTGTTGTTTCTATAGATTACTGATATGTAGGTTTTACAAGTTATTATGCTTTTTAACCTCAGTGGCTGCAGAAAGCAGAAACTATATCTTTGGCAATGAAGTAGTTATAGCAGAGACAGCTCGATGCAGACGTCTCTCACGGTACCAGGGGTCAGTTAGAAGCCTGAGGAGGACAATGAATCTCACCAGGCTACCTACTTTGGGGGTCCACTTCTTGAGACCACCTCATATTGAGAGTATTTTAGGATCCCAAAAATATAAAATAAATATTTTGAGAGTAGGAAAGGAAAGTGACCTTATGCTGAACTCATCTGCATGTAAATATTATGATAGCAAATCCCACAGAGAACTTCCCTTAGGTTGTACAGCCTCTGCTTTCAAAGATGAAAAGTCAGCATGTATGTGATACACATGATCTGTGTGTGGCCAAGCCCTGGACAACTGACAGAGTTTCTCCATGTCCTTTGCTGTACTTTGGGACAGGACAGTTATCACTCTAGTCTCGGTTATCAGATTCACTCTACCCTACCGTAGAGTGTGTTAAAAAACACACACACACATTTACATCCAATCTTATCAAAATGTAGGGTATATTAAAGCTTTAAAAAATAATAACATATCCATTAGCCTTGTTTCCCACATATTTTAGACAGCTTTAAATTTTTTCCAACGTGCAAAGATTCTTCTCTGTGCATATATTGATTGCACTGGTCACAATTACTGGGTATAGCTGGAAAAACAAATGTATTCAGGGTAGGAATCTCACATAACCAAGAGAAATAGGATGTCATTCCTTCAGAATCAAGGAATCCTTCTTATCTTGTATTCTTTTTATTGAGATGAATTTAATTTTTTAAAATGTAAAGAAACAGTTTGAGGGGAAATCAATTTGTTATTTTTCTCATGTCCTTGACTGCTTTTTTATCTATTAAACCATTAATTGAACTATTGAAGTTGACCAAATTAAAAGGCAATTCTGTATTGCAAATTAACTATGCTTTACATTCTCATTTCCATGTTTATCAACTCAGTTCATGTACTGTAGGACAGGGTACACTAGGTGTATTTTGTTAAAGTGTTAACTGAATAGATACGTGGCTTTTAGGTGAATTTTAGAGGCAATCACCAACCTGAAGGCATCTCTCCTCCAGCACAACCTAAACTCTTGGAAAGCCACATGATACTCATCAGTAATTTTCACTGTGTGCTTCTTTTTAATAACAGCATTTTCACAAATGTGTACATTATTTACATAAACCAGTGGCATAATGGAAACACTCTGGTTGCTCTGTATCTGCCACCCACTCTAATCCATTCAGTTCTCCTTCATTTTCCTCTTTCTCCACTCTATATTCTTATCACATTCAACATTTTAACCATTCTTCTGTATTCCAAACCTTGTTTTCCACCATACCATAATGCATTAAATACACAAATTCACAGTCTGCTGATGATGCATTTCCTCGGTTGTGGTCAGATCTTCTGACACACATGCAGTCTGGCTTTAGAAGAGTAGGTGGCATCTTTCCATACTTTGCAAGACAGGCCCTTGGCACAGTCACACCGCTGGAAAATTTCTAGCCCATGAGAGCCCTTCTTGCGCTGTTTTGTGCAGACCTCCCCCTGGTGGAGCACTGGTTTGCAGATTTTCGTCCAGAAGTGACGAGCACAACAAAATCCTTCAATGCAGTCTGAGGATCGCAGGCAAGGGTCTCCTTCATGCCCTGGGGAACCACAGAATCCAAAGATACCACCATAAAATTCTACTTAGCAGTGGGAGGCACATATAACACCTTTGCTTATACCATCGCCCATGAAGTTACCATTTACAATAAAATGTCATGGATGCATACCGATTGGCTATTCCTTTAGTAATGTAAATCCATCGTCTGCAATATGAATATCAAGTTAATGAATAGACACACCTGTGCTCTCTTTACTTTGTCATGACCTACTTTTAGACAGTTTCTTGATCATTAATTTTTACATACTGAGTGAAAAAAAAGTAAAAATGTTGATTTTATGCCTTCTTGCAGGTCTAAATAAATCTCTGAGTCAAGAACAAGGCTGAAATCTCTAGGAACTCCTATGACCATATATCAGTGGGAGTCCAACCCAGGAAACAGAACCCAGGTATTCAAAACAGTTTATTTAATGCAAACACTTGGGCACACTGGTAGTGACTGGTGAAAAGCTATGATAAGTATCATATTTAGCTTATATCAGTATCCTAGGGTTGGACACACTAGAAAAATGGAATCTTACCAGGAGCCGAAGCTGTGAGGAGGCTCAGCCCTGTACAAAATACTACCCAGAATATGTTGGCTAAGCCCAGCCAGGCACATCTGACAAAGGGCTCAGAAAATTCAGTCTACCAAGAGCTATGAAACCGAGTGGAGAAAGGGCAGTCAGCGTATCTGAGGACAAACAGAATTACGGGCAACCAAGACCTCATAAGCAGATGGAAAAATAAATCTGGACACTTTATCCAGAAATAATATTAAGTTAGCAAGTACTCTCCTTATATAATGGCTGAATGGATATGTAATCTGACCATACAAGGGCTGCCAAACTTTTCTGTTAAGTGCCAGATAGTAACAGGTTAAGGTTTTGATCCACAGACAAGGCCTACATGAGTGGGAAATTCTGGGTTCCCCCCAAAACTTACCAAAAACAGACAACAGGCAGATGCAGCTACAGACCTAAGTATGTCTACCCCTGATCTGAAGGATTATCCATCACCCCAGATGTAGTCCTACTGTGTGACCTGGACACATCCAACAGAAGATATCTCTCTATTTCCCAACAGAAAATTGTACAAATAATTAGTAATGATTAGTAAAGTTTGAATTGCACTATAAAAACAAAATCTGTTGGAATACATATATTCATTAATAATAAATGAATTTGGTAGAACAAAAATGGAAGATATGGAAATGAATTTCAGATGTCAAGGAACATAAAAAAGAAATCACTTATGGAGAATTGTTTGTCAGAATCTTCAGTATTGAAATAACACTAAAAAAAAACAGGTTTTCTCATTACTGGACTTCTCAGAGCCTTCTGTTCATTCCTATTTACTGTAAATTTCCAAGAATGGAGCAATGCATTGATGCAAAACTCTTCTGAACACAAGCCACTTTTATTCATAGAACATCTTCAAAAAGAAGAACACTACAAAATGCCCTTGGGGAAAGGTCTGCTTAAAAATGAAGGTGTTTCATTCTTTTGAACTTTTACTATTAATAAATTTCAAGTTTTGTGTTTTGCAAGTTTACTATTAGTGATTAGGCTTCTGAAATATTTCAGTGTAAGGAAGGGAACTGCATAGCCACATGTAATCCAATGACAAACCAATTATTTTGGTAGATTAGTTATTGAATAGTATATCTTCTAGTTGTTAAGTAAAATAAAATTTCTAAATCTGCAAAGGTGAAAAAATGACTCAAAACTTAGTGATTTGATCATGTGCCAGCAAGATTTTCTTATTTACTTTTAAGAGTACTTTATCCCTCGATAGATACATGACAGATATGTTTGTGTAGATATGTTCTCCTAAATTTCACATCAAATGTAAAAACCTGTTGAGAAAAGGGGGTGATTAATCCAGGTCCTATAATTCTCATATATTTTATGACAATGTAACATCTAGTATCCTCAAAGTTAACAATTAATAAACTCATTTCAATCTTGGTGGGGCCAGGAATACAGCTCAGTGGCATAGCATCTGCCTGGTAGGCATGAGATCCAGAAATCTATTCACAGGACCAAGAAAAAAAAACAAGAAAAAAAACAAAGAAAAACAAAAAAACCCAGCAAATCTTGCCATTAAAGTTCTTTCCTTATAATATTTTCTAGACCAGTGGAAATTAATTACTGGTATCTGCATTTTTGTTTTCCATTTTTATAAAATAAAAAAAAAATTAAACTTAGAAGTGCAGGTAGCTTTACCTTTTATATGTGACATCTTGGTGTGTGGTCTTCCTAGATTCTGCCATCCCAAGTCATGGCTTGAGTAATGACCGTGGTTTCGATCTCTATGCCGAGTGCCGTCCAGAGCTGGGATGTGTGGGGTTAGGATGCTTTCAGTGACTGGGATACAGATGCCTGGTGATAGTGATATAAATATACTGGTTAGATCAATCCCATAAGTTGTGGTACTTACTCTGATGTGACCTAAGAACCAAACGATATGTCTATGTACCTGCCTACTATTTCTGAACTCACCCATTTACTGATTTCTGGAGACTAAATATAGTATACTTTGGTTCTGAAGCCAGGCTTCCTTAATCTGAATCTTGTCTCTTTTATGACCAAGTAACTTTTGTCAAAATGTGAATAAAAATAGAATTAATTTTCACAAGTTATTGTAAGTATGTATGCAACAGTAAGCTGGATTTTCAACTTGATTTTAGCTCTAAGCATATTTGCTCCACTACACCATCTGCTATGTTTCTGCCTTAGAGTCAGTTGACCATGAACTGAATCCCCCAAAACCATGAACCAATTTAAAACTCTCTTCATCAAATTTTGGAGACCAGATATTTGGTCCCAACAATGAGAAAGCTGACTAAGTCAATACGTGAAGTGCTTAGAATAGTGACATAGTAAAGGATTAAATTAATTTTAGCCTTTGTGTTTTAAAATCATCTGACAGGACGTTTATTATAGATTAGGGATTTTGCCTTTTAATGATATGGCCTTACTCTACACTGCCATCTTTCCTTATAAGCTTGTCTTCATTCCCCTCACAGTAGGTCTGTGTCCCAAGGTTAAAGCAGGCTTGTCTATATATGAGCCTCATTTGGTATGCCTGAGTAGATGTTTCTAATTACCCCTGAAATTCATGATTTTATGATGGTTTGTCTGTAAGTTTTCATTTCATTACTAATACTGAATTTTATGCTTGTAAATCCACTGAGTTTGGGTGAAGCCAGGATGAGGGACAGAACTTTGTGTCTTTATTTGTAGGGATCAATCACCCCCTCACCATATGAAGGTGCCACAGGACAGCTTGAAAACAGCGCTTGAAGTACAAACTCTTAGAAAACTGGAAAGAGGACTCTGAAGTACACTACTAAATTATAGCAGGTTCCTTTCTTTTGTTCACTTTCATGTATTTGTTAAGGTTTCCATCAGAGTAGAACATCTAGCCATTTTATGCAATATTTCAACTTTGAAATATGCTAGATCAGTGCACAGCATTTAATACCTAAGTTAGAAAGAGCCCAGTGAGACTAAGATTTGAGAGGTAATCTTATGTGACCTAAATCATAATTCAATCCCTCCCCATCCTGAAGGATGCTTTCTATCTCTGGAGTCTAAGTAAGGAGCAGTAAGACACCTGTCTTTCCAACATGAAAAAGACAGAGGCCTGGTAACACTTAACAAGGTCTTGTACCATTATTACAGCGGGTTCCAGGGCAACACATGCCATCTCTATGGCAACGCTTCTTTTTCCTTCGACACACCATGCAGGCTGATGGTCCTTGGTGAGGACTGTGGCAGTATCTTCCAATTTCACATTCCTTATCACTGCTGCAAGGGTAGGCCTAACATCAAGGAGAACAGCACAAAGAGCAAAGATGAGATCCTGGTACACTCATGAGGCATGACTATATCAAATCATGAGAGAAACTGAGCAGCAGCATTCCAGTCCTAGAAGGAAATATGTCATTGTAAGAAGGTTCTGAATACAGAGCCTCCATAATGACACTTCCTTAACTGAGGACTATGTGAGCATTGATTGTTTATGGTGACAAAGATGAAGGTGATGCTGCTCATACAATTTCATTGGCCCAACTTTGGAGTTAGGATTCAACTTTGTTTGAATTAGTAGAACCCTTAAGGGGGCTCAGTGACAGTTGCAGTTACAGTAGCAGTCATAAAAGTATAGATGAAACAGTTGGTCTCTTCTAGCTGGCCTCTTCTGCTAATGGAGGATAGGGAAATGGCAAAGTGAAAGAAGAAAGAGCTGCTTATATGCTGCTGAATTATGGAAGATATATTTTAAGAGTAACTGCACATAGTTCATGATGGTAAAAAGCAAGGAGGCAAAATGCTTCCAGAATACATCCAGGCAATGAACTGTTTGGCATAAATAAACCAAAGAGCAGCATCTTCACCCCCGCTACTTCCAATGAGTAGCCAGAGCTGCTGGACCACAGTTGCACCAGCGTAGAGGGAGCAGAAACACACTCTCTTTACATGCCCAAGAGCCCCATTGTCCACACCTTGGGTTCACACGGAAAAGTCTGTTCATATGTAGAAGGCTACTTCAGCAGTGTCAGATGTTATTTTGAAAATAAAACTGTACATTCTGGTCATGTTATGCTTGCTTACTGAAAGTCTTTGCAACACTTCGAAGGTCCCTTTTTTCCAGTGATTAAGGTGTCACACCACACATCAAAGTTACTCAGATTTTGACGTAGGGAGGCTCATTTGCAAGGCTTTGTTGTTGGTTACGTTTTTTCTAATTTTTCAGAGCAATGGATTATTTTTATTTGAAAAATACAAAATACATTTTTGAAAGCTATGTACGTTTTAAACAAGCATAAATGATATGACTATAAAAGTATAAATGAAAGTGCTGTGACTTTCAAATAATTGGTATTACTTGGCTGTTTTTGTTTGGAATTATGTTTGTTCTTCTAACTCTGCTTGCATTGTTTATTCCTTCCACCTCTTTTTCTCTCACTCTCTTTCACTATTTCTTCCAACATCTTTTCTCCCCTTTCCCATCCTGTGCATCTGTGTGCACATACTGAGGCCCCACATGTTTTCCATTTATGTCTGCTCATTTTCAGGTAGAAAGAGGAAATGAAGACGAGGCGTATGTGTGAGTTTGAGGAAAACAATACATTTTTGTGTCACTACAATGTCTTCTTTACCCTTAAGAGAATCACATAGGAAAACCATTAACTTCAGATTCAAAGTGATCTTAAAAGCTTGCACAGTGGCAATGTTTAACACATACACTATAATTATTATAATTGGAGCCAGATAAAGCTGTAAAATTAATTCATATATTATTGTCCCACTCTGCGGTTCTATCATTAGGCTTTAGAGAATCTAGAGGAAGTTGGATTCAGAGCAGTAGACCATTTTTCAAGTGCCCAACTGATGCAAACAAAACAAATGTCACTTCCCGCCTTACCACTCTGTCCCCAGGCACTTTACCCTCCTCCCATTAAGCCCATTATTTTCAATTGAAATACAATTCACATGTTTCTGATTCATTTACATTTATTTCATTGAATTGTGTTGCAAGACACATTTGATGTCCTACAAGTTTCTTTCCTTCCTCAAAAATAGGACATGTTCTTTCAACGGAAATAAACATGTGCCACCTAAAACATCATGTGCTTATTTGCCACTCAAACAACAAATCTTCAGAAGATTCTGAATATAGAATAATTACTCGGTTCCCTTCCTAAAAACTTGTCTAAATGGCAGAGTACAAACTGCTTGCTAAAATTAACAATTTATTTATGAGGAAAATGGTCGAAGGACCATCATCTTTTTTTTCCATTTTCAGTTGATGGGAAGTGGAAAATATTGAAATGGCAAGTAATTGATACACAAGATATTAGAAAATTGGATTCACAATCATACTATATCTGAATGGGATCACAATAAAATTCTCTTAATTTTTATGGGAACAGATCACTTTGTCTAAGACAGATGCTACATAGAAGGCATACAGTTTCATTATGCTTCAATATGTCTTATGATTAGCTTGAAATAGAAATAACACAGGTAAAGAAAATATTCAGGATTTTTTTAAAATATAAAAGGCTATGAATATTGTGAACTTGTACTCAGAATGGAATCTGAGAATATAGACCTTAAGAGAAATTCTTTGGAAATTTAAAAAGCAAATTTCAATAATTTAAATGCAAAGTTGTATTACATAGCTTGTAGTATGTTTATGAAACTCCTGGTTCCAAGAAACACTATATATGAATAAAATCAAGAAGGGATGAATAAACTGATTGAAGCAAGTTTTAAGGAAGTAAGCAATGTTTGGAGGCATGCCTTGCTTTATGAATTCATTGTCCTCAAAACAAATCTACTAAGCCATATCTTCTCTTGAAATAATCATTAGAAGCAAAACACAGTGCATGAGAAACATAGATCTAACCCATGAGTAACAGAGCATGTTTTCAGCACTAATGAACTACTCTTCAGTGAAGAGTTTTCAACAAGACATTTTCAGCTCAAATATGAGGCTGCTGCAGCTTGCCATCTTTCCCCCTTACATTAATCAATTTAAAATGTCTGGGAATGGTATTGTGAGGGGGAGAGAGCAGAGAGGCAGACAGTAATAATGAAGGACCCTGGGAAACGAAGACTGTAGCAATGAATGGACTGCTAGTGGGAAATATGTACATTCATAAAATTTCCATTCAGAGATTTTCACATGGAAAATATTCATGTTCCATTTCCTTTGGTTTCCAAAGGCTGTTATTTGGTCCCATTTGATGATGCTTTTGTGGCAAACAACAAAGTGAGTTCAAGTACATTATTCTCTTTCCACTTAAAATCAGTATTTCTCTTACCTGGTACTTGTTTCAGAGGTGAATAAAAAGGCTGATTTTTTTTTTTTAAACCTAGCTATGGGAATTAGTAGTAGTGACTTTTAATGACTATTCATTTACTTGGACTTTAGGGGAATAGAACAGATAACTCTTCCCTTTTTGTCTGATGGTCAGTGATAGTTTGTGTCAAAGACTTAAAAGAAAGTGAAAGAATAAATGAGACCTTAGTGAGCTTGTTCTCCACAACTGGATCCCAAATTCAGTTTTGTGAGCATGCAGGGAATCTTAGTTCCTTCCTGAATCACTCATTGTCTAGCCTCAGTCTTAATCCAGAGAAAAACTGATTTGGGGCCCCTAATAATGGCAAGTGATTGGCCACAAATTGAGAATGAGGGAGAGCTGTCCACCATCACAACAATAAACAAAAATTTTTGTCCAACCCCATTTCAATGCTAAAAATAGAGTGGTTTCCACAACTGGTAATGCTGATGATTATTATCACCATGACATGAACTAAAATAAAATCTATCACAAGTTAGCATTTCTTTTTCATATAAAGGATTTCCTTTAAATCCATTTCCTCAGTGTTAGTTTGGAATCATCATTTAAAATTTTAACAATGATGTGAAGAGAGACTAAGTACTTTGTGGAATTAAGTGCCTTATGCTCAGAGACAGAATACTTGGGGATTCTGACCCCAACCCTGGCTTTGGGGCTTCACCAGGAGGTATGAAGACTAAAAACTTTGTCTTTTGAGGTTTCAATGCACAAAGGCTAGGGGACAGAGGGTTGAGCTGCATTTAGATATTAAAAAAATAAACTTGGCCACATCTCTTTCTAATACCAACAGCACGTCCACTGCAGCTGTTGGGAAGACAGAATACTGGCGAGAAGCACAAACAAAACTGTAAACAACATTTTCTCATCCTATTTATTGTTTAATTTTATATCCATTTAAATGCAGAGCAAATCAGAGCTATAAGCAGAAACCCATATTATGCAAATAAATAATGATAATTAAATAATCCTTCAATGAACAAAGTAAAAGGAAATGTACTTGTTCTATTTTGTTTAAACTAAATAAGCCTTCTTTCCCTAATTATTCTCAAAACTGCAGGGAGAAAAGGCCTATTCATTCAAGACTTACATTTTGGATTTTTTTCTTATTTTTCAGTATCTGCCCATCCTTTAGAATTTGCAGCAAATGAAACAATGAAGTAATGGGACCCCTAAGAATAATGAAATGGGGAAAAATGGCTCAGGTATCTTGGCAGCACTGACCGTCGAACAGATATTGAGCCTCAACTAAAATCTCAGTTAGCTCCCAGGGTTTCAAAAATAGCCAGGCACAGTGGTGAGTGCCTATAATCCCAGCACTTGGGAGGCTGAGGCGGGATGATCGTTGCGAGTTCAAAACCAGCCTGGGCTATAAAGCGAGCTCAAGGGCCAGCCTGAACTGCATAGCAAGACCCTGTCTCAAAAAGACAAAAAAACCCAAACGGTATTGTTCCTGTTTAGGGATGAAGAGGAAAGAAGAGAAACATTACACAGTGTCCATGTGGGATGGCCACCCATCTGGATGCTTGCGAGATCGTCCTAGTTTTGGTGGTGTTGTTGTTGTTAGTCGGGACAATCCCTTGTCCCCGCAAGCACTGTTTGTAACCATTTCGGAAGTCTGCTGGAGCCAGGAAACCGTCATCAGCTGGGCAGGCAGAAGAAAGCCTGCAGGGGACAACCCAGCTGTGGGAATGAAAAACATTTGAGCAGAGAGAGGGAGGTGACAGGGACGGGTTGGGATGGAAAGATATCTGGGGAATCCATGAGACAATAGAATGTCGGCAGTCACATGTGAGAAGCCAGGTCAGAATGGCTTGCTCCTAAATCTTTAGAGAAGAGATTGATTTCCCTGATGACAATACCCCACATGATAGACTTGTACGTCTATGGATGTGCAAGGGACAGCCCTCGTAAGGATGTCACTTTGAAATCAAACACTAAAATTTCAACTGCAG